TATATATATATATATATATATATATATATATATATATATGAAAAATGAATGTGGGTACTCAAATGAAAGGTCTCGATGAGTGTAATTTCGAGATGAGCTTATATCTTCAAAAATGTCAATAGTTCACAAGATATAAGGTAATTTTTTAATTATGTATCTAGAGATAGAGCATTTTCGAATGCATTCTAAATACTCATCATAATAAATTGACCATCGGTGAGAATGATATGAAACCTTGAAAAAGCACAAACTAAAGTCAAAACCTTTGTAATGACACTAAATTTCACTAAAAAAATCGATTTTAATTAAATTAATTAATTAACTTTAAAAATTTCATCATTTAATAAAATTTATCCTTTTTTAATTGGAGTCAGCAATCGGATTTCTTAAGAAGTAAATAGATTAATAAATAATAAAAATACTTACGTTTCATTTTGAAGTCTATTGTCAACCAACTGAGCAGAAATAGGAGCAGATAATTGTCTAACAAGTTCATCACGCTCACGTTCCTTTTGTTGAATTGTTTCTTGTAACTTCTGTTTTTGTTTTTGATACTCTTTAAATAAATCACCATTGTAGCTTTGATCAAGATTATCACCGGCAATAACACCGCGTGCGGGTATCACAGTAGGCTCTGGTATTTTAGCAGCAACGCCAGTTGGTTTGTCAGCCAAAGAATCGCGTCGTGAGCTTCTTGCGGTAGACAATGCGGGTGATTCACGACCTGGTAGACGTCTTTCTGGAGTAGATGCTGACGAGGGATTTGTTTTGTGTCCTAAAACAATTAATATCATCAATAAATAATATCCAACATATTCAATATATATTTATATTATTAAAAGAATAAGCAAAATTTTGTGGCCAGTGTATTTATATGATAAGGTTTTTATGGTTAAATTAAGAAATGACCCTGTATCTCATAAATTATTGACATTTTTAAAGATATAAGCTCATCCTGATGTTACACTCATCAAGACCTTTCATTTGAATACCCACATCAATTTTTCATATATTTATATATATTATATATATGTATATATAAAAAATATATCAAAAAGGCATGTGGGTACTCAAATGAAAGCTCTCGATGAATGTAATTTCAAGATGAGCTTATATCTTTAAAAATATCAATAATTAAGAACTGACATTGCTATCTTGTCATCTACTGACATTTTTAAAGATATAAGCTCATCTTGACATTACATTCATCAAAACCTTTCATTTGAGTACCCACATCAATTTTTCATATATTTTATATATTTATATATATTATATATGTATATATGAAAAATATATAAAAATTGCATGTGGGTACTCAAATGAAAGCTCTTGATCAGTATAACATCGAGATGAGCTTATATCTTTAAAATTGTCAATATTTAAGAAAGTACAGTGCAATTTAACAAAATTCATTATTTAATAAAGCAAAATTTTATTTATTTATAGTTCACATAATGACTGCAAGATTGTTAGTATTAATAAAAGACACAAAAAAAATTACCTTCTGGACTCTGAGACTGTCCACGTGCTCTCGCAGCTGTGTTCGCCTGCGCATTAGCGATGGTTTCCTGGATTGACGGTAGCTGCTGCTGGAACTCGGCGTAACTCGAGCTGAGAAAGACGTCACCTTCGTTTTCAAAAAGCCTGTCGACGCTGGTGTTCATTATTTTGTTATTTTTGAACCCGGTTAAGTGAAAACTAGCGAAGGATGATCGAGACATAGGATTTATGTCACCGGTTGACAACGCCATTAGTGCTGCTGACGGCAGAGTTGTATTTTTAGGCCCTGGGCTGCGAGGTCCCAAACCGGCTTCTAGAGCTGGTACAAGACTTCTTGACATCATATCAGCAGCAGAACGCGGCCTGGTAAATGGCATCGCGCTGTGTGGGAAGGTCTTTGGCTTTATTGGCGTTATCAGCATGTGCTCAGTCCACGAGGTCTCCAAGGATGGTCTCTCCAGTCTTTCTACGTCCACGTTCAATGTCCTCTGGGCAAACGGAACCGCAAACGTTTCTGGCGGAATACTTTGGAGCCAAGATAGCAAACTTAAATCCGAATCGCTGAACCCTACTGACCCGTCTAGCAATCGCGAGAAACTCATCTCAACCTGGAATTAAATTTATTTATTAGTTATATTGTATCAATATTGTCTACGAAATTTATTGATAATCATGTACACATATTAATATTTTTTTAGAATAAAATTATTTTAGATACATAATTAAAAAATGACCTTTTATCTTGTGAAATATTGACATTTTTAAAGATATAAGCTCATCCTGATGTTATACTCATCAATACCTTTCATTTGAGTACCCACATCAATTTTTCATATATTTATATATTTTATATATTTTATATATGTATATATGATAAATATATCAAAAACGCATGTGGGTACTCAAATGAAAGCTCTCGATGAGTGTAACATCAGGATGAGCTTATATCTTAAAGAATATCAATAATTAAGAAATGACATCGTTATCTTGTGAAATATTGACATTTTTAAAGATATAATATAAATACAATAAGATACAATATAAAAGATATAAGCTCATCTCGATGTTACACTCATCGAGACCGTTCATTTGAGTACCCACATCAATTTTTGATATATTTATATATCATATATATTATATATATGTATATATGAAAAATATATGAAAAAGTGATGTGGGTACTCAAACGAAAGCTCTTGATGAGTGTAACATCAGGATGAGCTGATATCGGTAAAAACGTCAATAGTTAAGAAAGTACAGTGCAATTTAACAAGTTATTATTTAATAAAATAAAATTTTATCTATTTATACTTCAAAAATCACGGAAGTCACTTAAATTAATGACTGCAAAGTGTCTAGTTTTGAAAAATTTAATTATCTTGAATCAAGTAAAATTTATTGAATTAAAAATAATTTCTCACATAAAGTTAATCAAATTCTTCAATATTATATTCTTGGCTTATGAATTTTTTTTGAATTAAATTAATTTTTAATTAGTTTACAAAGTCATTATAAATTTTATTTCAGTTTAAAAGAAATTGTTAAAATTATTTTCTAGGCAAAGTAACACATCAACATAATTGAATGTAAATTAAAAATGAGCAAAGAAAAAAAAAGTTAATAACAGTGTGCAAATAATTACTAACCTGTTCACTCTCCTTAGATCCAGTAGCCTTAGCTTGACAATAATTAACACACGACTCATAAAGAATGCCCTTGATGATTAATTGAATAAGCCGGTCATTTTTAGCCGAAGCAACGGGATGACTTGGATCAGACTTGCGATCACCAGGTAAGAATTTTTCAACCAACAAGTGGACTTCCCTGAAGCACTGAACTCTAGCATTGCTCGGATTCCAATCTTTGTACTGCAAGTGATCTGTTAACCGCGGGAGCGTGAGCAGCAGGCAAAGGCTGCTGTACTCTTCTTTGGAAGGCGCTACTTTCTCCAGGTCGCTGAGGACTTTAACGACCTCCTCGACGGCATTGTCAACGCTCCCATTGGCACCGGCGATGATGTTCGCCTCGGACTTTATGCAGAGCAGCTCGACGTACTTGTGACGCAGGATCGAGTAGGTGAACTTCTTCATGTCGAAATCTGGAAGCGCCTCCAACGGCTGGATGAATTCCAGCACGTCGTCCCATTGTCCGTCCAGAATCAGCTGACGTAGGAAGAGAACGTCATCGCTGTACTGACCATTTATCACGCCAGTCTCCCGTTCTAGTGAGAGCTGAGTGATGTGAAGGTCACGGCTGTGAAGAAACTCGAGGGTCAGTCGCACCACGTCCTCTTCTCGCAGCGTCAGGTGCGCCGCCGGCATCACGTACCGAATCCGCAACCTGAAAATTATTTTTATGATTTAGTAATCTAATTTATTGGAATTGATACGATTGCTTTTAGATTAGTGTATGCTGATTTTTTTAGTTAATTTGATGATGTAATTTTTTTTTTTATTTCTAGTAAAACAAAATTCTAAACAGGTGCAATTGCACCTGGGGTTTATTAGTTAATTTTTTATACGGGTTAAAAAAAATTAATATTAAACTAGCAACCTTGCAGTCACTATGTGACTGCCGTGAGTTGTCAACTGTACATAAATAAAATTTTGCTTTATTAAATAATGACTTTTGTTAAACTGCACTGTACTTTCTTAACTATTAAAGTTTTTAAAGATATAAGCTCATTCTGATGTTACACTCATCAAGAGCTTTCATTTGAGTACCCACATGTATTTTTGATATATTTTTCATATATACATATATATAATATATATAACATTTTGCTTTATTAAATAATGACTTTTGTTAAACTGCACTGTACTTTCTTAACTATTAAAGTTTTTAAAGATATAAGCTCATTCTGATGTTACACTCATCAAGAGCTTTCATTTGAGTACCCACATGTATTTTGATATATTTTTCATATATACATATATATAATATATATAAATATATGAAAAATTGATGTGGGTACTCGAATGGAAGGTCTTGATGAGTGTAACATCAGAATGAGCTTATATCTTTAAAAATGTCAATATATCACACGATATTTGTTAAATTGCACTGTACTTTTTTAAATATTGATGTTTTTAAAGATATAAGCTCATTCCGAAGTTACACTCATCAAGAGCTTTCATTTGAGTACTCACATGCATTTTTATATGTTTTTCATATATACATATATATAATAATATATATAAATATATGAAAAATTGATGTGGGTACTTAAATGAAAGGTCTTAATGAGTGTAACATCGGGATGAGCTCATATCTTTAAAAATGTCAATATTTCACAAGATAAAAGGTCATCTTAATTACTGACTAAGGTTTCTTAATTATTGACATTTTTTAAGATATAAACTCATCTCGATGTTACACTCATCAAGACCTTTCATTTGAGCACCCACATTAATTTTCCATATATTTATATATATGTATATACAAAAAATATATCAAAAATACATGTGGGTACTCAAATGAAAGGTCTCGATAAGTGTAACATCGAGATGAGCTTACATCTTTAAAAATGTCAATAGTTCACGAGATACAGGGTAATTTCTTAATTATGTATCTAGAGATAGAGCATTAAGTACTGACTGAAAATCATTAAAATAATCTTTTTCACAAAAATACAACATTTTTTACAACAGATAAAAATGATTTCTCAAAAAAAGCTTCAATTGTGCAAGAAATAAAATCAATCACTCAGATGTTCAAGCTCTAAGATAAAGTTTCAAGAGAGTAAGTCGTTCTAAAAGTTTTTTATGTGCTCAGATGTGATAGACTTGTTTCAAAATTGACTTTTAAGACAATAAAAACTTAGATGTAAAATATTTTACAATATACTTTTCAAATAAATACTTTTTTCTAAGAATAAATTTGATAAATCATCAAAACTATTAATTTAAAAAAAAATTGCTTTTTTTAAACAAATTAATGAGGTTTTACTAAAGATTGCTTTACTAAAAAAAATTTGGTTACTAAAAAATGTGATTGCGAAACATTGCTGGGTTTAAAAAAACAAAATTTAGCAGTATTTTTGTTGATGCAGTTTATGCTGACTTGTCGCAAAGTGTAGGAATGCATAAAAATAACGAGGTCGGTGATATTTAGCTAATCAGCGAAGAAGGATGACAGAAAGCACCAAAAAATAAAATAGTAAAAATAAAAAATAAAGATAATAAACGTTAGTATAAATGTAAAAGTTATTTGGATGAATATGTTAACATAGCTTTTTATTCAAGAGGGATTTACGGTCTGGAAGACGTCTGGCCTTTGAGGAATAAACCGCCTCGAAAATACTGAGATAGATTTTTTTAAATCTTGCTTTAGTATCCCCTAAAATCTTTTTCAATTTACGAAAAAACCGATGAGCAAACATTCCCCTTAAAAACAATCGACACTAAATTAAAAAGCTTACATTTTATTCAATTGGGAAATACTTTTATTCTTTAAATAAGTTGGAGGTGGCGATGAAACTTGAGACTTTTTAGTCAGCAAATTGAAACTTGAATTTATCGGACTGACGAGTGCCAGTTGCACAGTGCCAGTCTTACATACAACTTCGCAAAGATAACAGAACATTATGAAGATCGTATTCCATTCATTGGTAAGAGATTATTTCCTCTATATATAATAGTACACTTATTGACAGTTTCAATCTATAAACTTACAATTAAATCATATCAATAATTTTGCTTATATTCATTATTTATACTTTAAATCCTTCATTTTTTTCTGTTTACAATCATTAGGCATTCCTGCTGATAGGAACATTTACAGTTGGAGCTGTTCCTGCATTTTTTCCTGGATCTCCACATCAATTATCACCTAATTTTTACAATCAACCTGGACTATTTAGGCAAGCAAATATTCCTGAATTTAATAAATATGATCATATTCCAAAACCTGGACCAATTCCACAAGACCAAATTGGAATTGCTGTTCAACCAGGAGTTTTTGGTCAAGGACAAGGACAAGGACCATTTGGACAGTTGCCAATTCCTGGACAGCCTAGATTTGCTAATAATTTTGATCATCCTCAAAAATCTGGACCAATTCCACAAGACCAAATTGGAATTGCTGTACAACCAGGAATTTATGGACAAGGACAAGGACCACCTGGACCATTTGGACAATTGCCCTTTCCTGGACAGCCGAGATTTCTTACTGAGTTTGATCATCCTCTAAAACCTGGACCAATTCCACAAGACCAAATTGGAATAGCTGTACAACCAGGAATTTATGGACAAGGACAAGGACCACCTGGACCATTTGGACAATTGCCCTTTCCTGGACAGCCGAGATTTCTTACTGAGTTTGATCATCCTCTAAAACCTGGAGCATTTGATCAGCACCAAATTGGAATCAATGTTGATCCTGGAACTTATGGACAACCTGGACCAGGACAACCTATGCAATCTGGACCATTATTAATTCCTGGACAGCCTAGATTTGCTAACCACTTTGATCATCCTCAACAACCTGGACCAATTCCGCAAGACCAAATTGGAATTGCTGTTCAACCAGGAGTTTTTGGTCAAGGTCAAAGACAAGGACAAGGACCATTTGGACAGTTGTCTATTCCTGGACAGCCGAAATTCAGCAATCAAAATGGACCTATTCTATCTCCCCAACCTGGATCAAATGATCAACTTGGACCATTTGGAATGGGAGTGCCTGGATCGAATTTATTTCAACCGCAAAAACCGTGGGTGGATTCTGTAAATTGGCAACTTCAGCTAAACAAACAGCTAAATGAAGAAATAGCGAAGAAAATAAGGGAAATGTTGCAGAATAAAACAACCGGAGTGCCACAAATGATGACTCCGATTTCGGTTCCGCAGAACGCTTGGGCACCTTTTCCTCAGAACCAGTGGGCCAACAGATTTCACCGATCTCCACTCGCCAATCTTCAGGCGCTTCAAGCGCAAGGCTACCAAATTATCAAGCTCAAGGATTATCAAAATGTAAGTTTTTTTGTAGAGAGTTTAAAATTTGTAGGTTGTTCGAAAAATAACGCAAATTTTAACAGTTTTTATTTTGCAGCTTGAAAGACGCTCAGCTTCGGGACCCGGAGGAGCTTTTTCAAAACTCAATATTAGGAGCGACGAAAAAACATCTGATAAAAAATCTTTCGGGGGCTCATTGGCCCAGAACTCGACCTTAAATTCAACGGAGAGCTTTACTGACAATGTGGTGGCGAGTAAGTTTTTTTTTTTTGCTTTTTGTTCAAATGAAAAATTTTTAGAAGGAATAAATTAATCTTGTAAATTCTTCAATCAAAAATTTTGTGATTGTTTTCAATTGTTTATTAATAAATTGTCTATTTTAATATTTTTTAAATTAAATTAATTTTTGGGTAAAAAAGAATTTTAAATTACTGTTTTTTTTTTTTTTGTTTGAATGAAGAATTTTTTAAATTAAGTTTGATAATTTGCTAATTAAAACATAGAATTTCAATTTATTAGAATTGAACAATAAGAATTTTTTCAAATTATTATTATTATTTTAGAAATATTACTGAAATCGGTGATTTTACTTATTAAAGAGGATTTATTATTTTTTAAGCTATTTTTTAAAGACTATTCAATTTTTATTTATTAATTATTTTCACCATTATTTCTAAGTGAATCGGGTAGTTGCCTTAAAAAATAATAAATCCTCTTTAATAATAACAATCATTATTATTATTAACAGATATGCGTGCAGCAAGTTCATCAGAACATATGATAGTTGGAAATCCCTTAGAAATTTGCAAAGATTACGAAATCATCGACCAGCATCACCCATCAAAACACAACAAAGAAATAAAATCGTTTTGTAAAAATTTTTACCAAAACGTTATGCCTAGCTTTCCATCATATCCAAACGAAGTCCTTTCGACTTCTCACTCGGAAGATTACACAGTGACCGATGATATCTCGAAAATGTCAGACAGTTCTATCCGCAATCTCACGCAAACTAGACAGCAGCTTCCGAACAACCAACAACAAAAAGTAATTATTTTTTTTTGCCTTAATTAAAATTTAAGTATCAGAAATTTTGTAATGTAAAAATTCTAGGCTAATCTCAACTAATGAAATTATTTAGACCCAAAGCGATGGACAGAGCAAAAGATTCGGTGATAACTTTATCGGTTTGTCAGAAGAATTGGCCAAAAATTCAACAAATGCGACTGCTGCACCTGTACAATATCGGTACAGGCCTTCAGTTAATGGAAATCTCCCACAACAAATTCCAGCAACCATCAGAGCCAATCCACCACCGAAATCAACTCCGAGAATGAATAATTACAATTCATTCCATCATCCCCTTGCGGTTGGAAGCGCGCTTTATAAGCTACCGAGTTTATGGCCAGGTAATGCATCCAATAATAATTATAATAATAAAAATTTTATGAACTTTGCTCCGGTATATCCAATTACTCCGCCTAATAATTATTATTTACAAAAATTTCCTGTGTATCAAACACCTAATTACTTTTTATATCAATAATTTTTTTAAGTTATAATTTATTACAATTTTTTTAAATGTTATTTTATACTTTTTTTTTATTATTGAATCTTGTGGGTTTTTTAATATTTTATTGGATAAATAATGCATTGATTATTGTTATTTTTTAATTAGAAATTTAAAATTAGTGAGTAATTATAAAATTTTGTATTTAAAATTACTTTGATGGTTTTTAATAGTTGAAAAATATTTTATTAATGAAAATTCAATAATTAACTGTCAAAAATTATTTTTATTAAAAATATAACTTATAAAAATTTCAAATTTAAGGATTAAGAAAATTTTTATTGAAATTAAATGATTAATCCAAAAAATTTCTAATTTTTCATAAAAAATTAAATGTTTAATACTAATATTTTGCCTAATTAATTATCAAAAAAAAATTGGTAACAATAATTTGTAAATTAAAGTTCAATATAAATTATTTTTTACAAAAAATTAAAATTTTATAATTAATAATCCCCCATGAAAAAAATATATTGAAAAAATATCTGTCGAAATACATAAAAAATATATTTTAAATATATTCAAAATCTATAAAAAATATATAAATAAATTATGTATAGGAAATATATTTTTAATAACTAACTTTTGGCCAATTTTCATATATATTTTATATATTCTAAATATATTTTTTTTATATTTTTAGCCATGTATTTTAGTATATATTCTAAATATATCTAAAATATATAAAATATATCTTAAAATCAGCCAAAAGTTAATTATTAAAAATATATTTATTATACATATTTTTTATATACTTATATATTTCGACATATATTTTTTTTTCATAGGGGGCAACATAAATAAAAATATTGAGCTTAAAAAATTAATCCAAGCACAAATAATCAAACTTATTTTCATCTAAAATTAAAATAAAAAAAATCAATGCATTATTTACATCCCTAGTTAATTATTTTCATACTACTTAATATCATAATAATATTATCTCCATAGTAAAATAATTTTTTTTATATATTTATACAAATGATTACTCATTGTAAGCCTTATCGAACTCCGTCCACTCAATTATTTAATTATATAAACTATGTACTGCTAATTATAATAAAATAAAAATTTAATCAATCTGAGATGCATTAATTTTCAAAGAAATCTTTATAAATAAAAAGAGACAGAGAACTAAACCAATACAAAGAGCTAAACAGTGTCTGGAGGTTAATGTGATTGTCTGTAATTTATCTGTTGAAATTAATTGCCCCAGACAGCGGGGGTGACATGAAGGATTGAAGGATCAGGACGGCAAGTATAAGTATAAGTAGCATAGTTCTATTCCAGAGAATATAACGTCAGATTTAATATTGATCAATAAACCAGAAGTTGTCATTTCATCCCACGCGCTACACCCGAGGCTATAATATCCTTCATATTAAAAATAAGATGTGATATGAGTATAATTTTTATACATATATAAAATTTAAATTTGCAATTATGTAATTTTAAGATGAGATGAGTAATAACCTAGCCCGCGGTACTTTACGGATTTTTCCAAGCGTATAAATTACATTTTTTTACTCAACGATTATCCTCCATCATTTTCCACTCATTTGAGATTTATTTTCATACGGATAAAAAAATAATCCATAGACTGGAGAAAAGTCTTTGCCTCAAGATAGTTTAAAAAAATCTTTTTCTTAGTTTTCAGATTTTTTTCTTTTTTATCTTTGCTAGATCGTATAACTTTTCTCTAGAAGCAAAAGGGATCTATTACAGAGTTCTAATGGTCCCATTGAAGCGTTGCACCTTTGACCCTTTGCTAGAAATACATACGCCATTGGACGAACAGTTTGCACAAGCAAATGGGAACTTTTTACTATTTTATTTTTTAAATAAAAAATAAAAACACTTTTAAACTTTAAAATTCATCTTTGTGTCCGCGCTTTTATCTCCTGACACACATTTCTCATTACTTTCCGCGGTTTTCAATAACTGGGGCTTTTATCTGAGTCTGAGTTATAGTTTCTTGACGACTAGTTGACAATTTTTGTTTATTAATGGGCATTTTTTGTTTTATTATAAAGAAAGTTCATAAAATAGAAAATTTACTTGTA